TATGTAAAAAACAAGTATAATAAGCACAAATTTATTATTTTCATTAACAAGCATAATAAGCACAAATTTATTATATTTATTGTTTATTATAATAAACGCAGTTGCATAAAATTTAATATTCTAGAATCAACTTATATTAGAATCATCTTACATCATTATTTTGACAATTCAACAAAATTATTTTCAGTTCTGTACCCAGTAAAAATTTTTGAATACTTCAGTAAAATTGTTCTTTCTTAGTGTCAGTAACTATGTTTAAAATGAAACAAGTACAAAATTAGTATTGCGTTCGAGATCCAATCGATCATCACTAGCTTCGATACGAGTGTTCACTTCATTTCTGTGATTGCGTATCGGCACATTTAAAAAATGAGAATTAGAAGAAAGCGTGTTACGCAGCATGACTATGAAGCTAATGATTCCTACGGCTATATGAGTCACTAATTATCAAGGAGATTGATGGACTGCGCCGACTATTAAAGCGGTGGCGGCGAATGACACAGACGAATCCGTAGTGCTTTCTGTGCTGACGTAGATATTAAAATCGAATGAAATATCGATCATTGAAGGTAGAGGCGTTTATTTCAGTTCAGATTTTCAATTTTATATCGGAATCCTTTAATAATAGTATGCATGCGGCATCTTTCGCGTGACTGTTTGTTGCGCAAACGATGAAATAAAGTCGGTTGTATACAAATTTATTTAATTAAATACGTGTTTAAGTGCTTCATAAAAACTCACTTTCGACGACATCCAGCTAGTTGGATCTTTCTCGTGTCTTATATAGCTTCGTGCAACACGTAAACATGGCCTTGTCTTTTATTGCGTTGTGCTCGCGAAAGGAAAAGGGTTGAGACTTTAGTTGAACAGAAATCTCAAGTAGCGTCTGCAAAATAAAAAACGTTTATATGCGCTTTTTGTAGCGTTTCGTAGGCGTTGTGTGTTATTTGAGATTATTCTTGCGGCTACACAAAATGCAAGACTTCCACCTATATCTCACAATCTTGCGCGATGAAAAATACGACCGCTAACTAAAACAAACACAATCTCGCGCAGATAAGTAACATCGACGCAGTGCTCAATGAGCAATGAAAGTTCAATCACAGTTAATTACAGATGGTCTCGAGAGCGAAACGTTCCTTCCTGCGTTCATAGGCCGTCTGTTGGGAAGTGACGGCAATGACGGATTCGCGTTACGACCTCGTGGATCTCTAATTACTGTACACGATATTAGCTATCGCAGACATGAATCATTGCTATCAATGAAATAGAACGGGCGCGCCTTTGAACGAGCTGCTGAAAAATTGAAAGAATGTTAATAACTTCTTGCTGTTACTTAACCACGTGCGCGGCTTATAAAGATGAAGAACTAGTTCTTAATCGAAAGTGTTTGTCTTAAACATACGCGCGGAATCGTCAACGTCAAAGTTTGAACGTTAGATTAATTAGCAATGATAGGGCAGGACTTCATATAACCTGAATGCTATTTTCGCATATCAAAGGAAATTAGGTGATTTAATTACTCATAAATATATATCTCCAATTAAATAAAAAATTATAGTTTGTGCAAAAAGTCTAATGAGAAAAATATATTAATTTATAAAACGCTTTTTAACATATCTAAAATTTGAAAAGACTTATCTACGAAATTGAATTATTGATTTATATTCATAAATTTAAAATGGAATTATTCTTTTATTATACTAATTAGACGTATCTCAATTTCGTAGTAATTTAATTATTATTAGTTCAATGCTATACTACGAGAACAACATACTGGCATACTAAACCAATTCTATTATTTATAACCTTTATGAAAATGAACATATTATAAATACTTAATGAACATATTGTAATACTTTTACAATTGAAACATCAGATATTGAAGAATATAACGATACTGAGCAAATGTATGAATCTTTATTAATAAAAGAAATGTTATAAGCAATGAAAAAAGCATTGGAAACGTTAGAAAAAGAAATCCGGGTATGCCATACAGAAATTAAAAAATATTTTATTTCTTCTAATGCTTTTTAGCAAGATATGATAACAACATTTTATTCGATGTTATTCTTTAGGATTTGAACGGATAGAATATACGAATATAGAGACTTACGTATAAAAGAGCCGCGAAAAACCTACTATTGTTCCAATTTTCCACAACGTGTTTAGCGATGCAGAAGTACAAGAGAAAGAAAAAAATCAATTTTTGCAGTAATACCAACATTTTGCGGGTATGTGGCGTCATCTGAACGGAGTGTATCAGTACTTGAATAGAAATTTAACAAAGATTCTCAGTTGGTAAAACTTTTTCTGTCCAACAATAATAATTATATACGAATAAATAATAAATCAGGAATAATAATTAAATTTCACTTAATTAATATTTAAATAGCCCATATCGAGTAATATAGTGTACAATATTTTCTATATAATTATTAAATTATTAATCACAAAAATGACGATACATGCGTGATGAAAATTTGCATTATTGGATTAAAAACGAAATATTTTCACTCTAAAAATAGATATATGGTTGTATTCAAAAGCAGTTTTCCATTTTCGTTGTAAAATTCTTTAATGATTTTTCTCCTTATTTAATTGTTTACTGGATCTAAATTATAGAATAAGATGGTACAATTCTGAAATAAGATTTGAATTAAATTTTCGAAGTTTAAGAATATTTCGAAGTTTTAGATGTTTTTCTATTTGACATCCTTCAGTATGTACTTTCCACATAATAAGAGAGTTACCAAACTTAAATCTGGAAAATTGGATTTAAATTATATTTTGTTCAGAATTATACCATATTCGAAATTATTATTACCCTACCTGTAAATCCTATAAATCAATTAAAGAACTATAACAGATGCAAAGCTGCTCCTGGTGAATGCAGTTATTGATGCGTTTCGTTTTGTGTAGCATGTCTTTTGATACAAAATTCGTGCATAGCTTTTTACACTGCTCAGAAGCATAAAAGGATACAATACTAAATAATAAATGCAGGAATATTGAATTTTAGGTTTTTCATCGAATTCCATATTAACCGCGTGAAAACCGAACCGAAAGGGAATAGACGTGACAACCGCAAATATAAAAACATTACATTACAGCAATTTTCTTTTGTGCGTAGTGACGTCTATGCACGCTTCATATGGATAACGCGAGCAAAAACTTACGTGCGGCATAGACTGCAATATTTTCGCACTTGTCACGTCGAGAGATCATAAAAGCTGAAATTGTCTGCGCTCCTGCGTGAATAACCGCAAGACAGAGCAACCGCAATATATTGCTCCTCAGTCAACCAAGTTATTTCGTTATGACAGTTTCTAACACCTCCTGCGGACGCGATTTAAACGCGATTGTTCGCATTGGTAGATTTGCCAGGCGGGTGTAACAAATGCAGACAGAGTTTTATTTTCTGCAGCAGCTTCATGAAAACGCAGTCCAGCAAACAATAACTTGTAAAAACTTGAATTTCGAAAATCTCGATATGATACATTTTTGAAGAAATAATTAAATTGAATTTTTACAACAGCCTAATTTTTTTAATGAATATGGAGCTTAAAATAAATCGATAGAAATATTCCATTTTAGCATCAATCGCCATTACCCAATAAATATTAACTAACAAAGTGATCATAACATCAATATGTAATTTTATACTCAATAATGTATAACTATTACCTATTACGCACAATATGTCATAAATACATTGTTGAATGTATATAATGTTAATTACCGTGAATTGATGATTATTGGATATTGATTTTAACGATTATATAATGATTGCATGCGGTATTTAATGCATTATGATACATAATATTACACGACAAACTTGTGAGTAATTTTTGAATGTCCATGACAATAACTGCTGTTAAAAACAAACGTCATGAACATTCAAAAATTACTCACAAGTATCTTGATATAAGCAACGACAATGAATGGCATAAATTCTATTATTTTTCTTTAATTACATTCAATTTAATTCAATTATTACTCTTTAATTACAATTAATGGTAATTAATGAAGAAATTCGTTAAATGAGCGGTATTTTGAATTCAAATTATATACAAGAGCAAATTCAACACAATTTTGTGATAAGTATACGCATTTTGTCATGTACATTGTTTCGAGAAATTCAATTCAATCACCTTTGTAACAAATCAAAACAAATCTAAGTATCAGTATCAGTATATTATCACAGACCAGTTGCTATCATAACGGAATCAAGCACAGAATAAAAAAATATAATCATTAAATTTTTGATAGTGCTCGGATAATTTAATCAGTATGTACATATTTCCATATACTAAAAAATATCTAATAACAAAGTTTTTAATATTACATGTAATTAAGTAATAATAGTTCAAAAATGTTTGTCACAATACAACATGCTATTTCTCTTTATATGTATATTTCTCCAGAAAGTCAATGTAATAAAACAAGTAGATATTTATGAAGTGAGAAAGTTACAATAATATGACTTATAACTATTAGGTGTTGGAATTAATTCGTAGCGTTTTACAAGTGATGGGAAGTACTTTCATTAATGTATTTTTTAATGCTCATGTGAAATAAATAACATTCTTTCATTAAAAACGCTACGAATTAATTCCAACACCTAATAATTTGGACATTTTAGTGTGTTTTAATTATTTTGATAATTTTATTGACATACTGCTACTTTTCTCAATTTTTTATTATTATTAAAAGTATTTTTCAACTTTATGAAGCATCACACAAAACGCGTGTATAAAATTACAAAATGATAGAAATTGATTAATTTTTTGGAAGATATACAGGGTTGGCCATATTCGACGGAAAGATGTTTTTTTTTTCAATCATGGGAAAGAGATGTTAGATCGAGTAACGACGTTTCCCATGATTAAAAAAAAAAATCTTTCCGTCGAATATGGCCAACCCTGTACATATATGTATATTAAATCAATTACGTCATAATCATATTATTGTAAAATAGAAACAAGAAATCTGTTGATATAATTATTAAAATTACTTAAATGTTTGCGTAATAAACAATCTAATGGAAGATGCGTGTTTTAGATGCTTGAAGATGGGAAATAGAAACAGTACAAAAAGAGAAAGACAACATTTAAACATTGATAAGAGTGCGGCATTGTTTACGTGTCCATTTTGTAAACAGAAACAGTCATGCTATGTTAAAATGTAAGTTATTCGTATAAGTTCCAAGAGTAGCAAAAAGCTACTTGAATTCGTATTCGAAAAAAATTGATAGAATTCAACACGCACATTGTTTTTTTTTTTAATATTTTTAGCAATCGCGAAAAGAACATTGGAAGAATTAAATGCAATAAGTGTAAACGCAACGCTTTTACCAGCATGACTTATTTGACGACACCGGTGGAAGTTTTTATGAAATGCGAAGAAAAGATACGAACTGCTGCTAATTAATAGAGAGAACGAAAGAGGAAGAATATTGGTCCGGAAAAGTTTTATCCATTTTATAATCTACGTTCAATATAATGATAGTTCAACATTTTTTATTGTGTATGTATGTTTATATGTAAATTGTTTATGACACTTTTTTCGACATCTCTGATACTTATTTTTATTGATAATTGATTTATTTGATAATTTAAAACCGTAACTTGAATATAATTATATTTCAGAATAAGCACTCACTCTACGTAACGATAATCGGAATCAGGATATTGATATGTAACAATGATATCGACGATATTATCTTTTTTAAACAAAAAGTAGAATAAAGCGAGGTAATTTGAATTTTTTTAATTTTATAAATGATTGAAGTCATATAGTGTTTTAATTATACAAAATATATACTATATTGCACCAATAATATATATTATGATATTGAATACATTTTGAGACGTTAATTTTTTTTACAATTAAAAAATTTCTGTTAACTCATCAAAATTATCCCGCTTTACCCTACATAAATATATACGTATAATTCTACAGAAAAAATAACAAATATAATAAATAATTAGAATAATTTTGACATTATTTTTTACGAAAAAATGAAAAACATACTTATATAAAAATAATCAATTATATATAAAATTATATACGTATATCATCACATATAGGATATTATATAATTTTTTGTAAAAAATCAATTTAAATGTTATTTTTTATTAATTAATATTCAATCTTCTTATTAATTCTTATTTATTAATAAATAATAATTATTCTTATCATTTTTTAAATATGAACAGAGAGAAGGAAAAAATATGATAATATTTTACATATATATTTATATAAAATTATACTTATATACAAATGTTTTTATATAAAAAATTTCTTATCCGAGACGCGTTTGTTACCAGTTAAAAGTTTATTATAAGATATACATTATTGGACTGTATGAACGAAAACGCTTTTTGCTTTAAAAGATTATATTAACCCTCAGTACACACTTTAGTTTTTGGCACCCTTATTACACACAATGGATCTTTCGCGTCTCGGATTAATTCCATCACTTTTATGAGTATATAAAAATTATTAAGCAATTCTTACGTATATTTTGACATCTTCAGAAAATTGTATATTTAATAAATTATACATAAATTATATACAATAATTGTATATAAAATGAAATGTGCAGGATACAAATGACCTAAACAGTTATAGTGATATAAATTACAAATGAATATTTACAAACAAAATTGCTGTAAGATAGATGTTTAGAACTTCTTGAAGCTTTTCTTTGATCCTGTTCCTTTCGATACCTTCAATACATTAAATCTTACTGTCTTGCTTAAAGGTCTGCATTCTCCAATGGTGACTACATCACCAATTTCTACATCTCTGAAACATAAAGTTTGTGAATGTGAATGCTGAATTAATTGTTCATTTTTCTTTAAATATTATTTCGAAACTCAGATATATAATGATCATCAAAACATCTCAGTAGACCATCGTGATATAAATTATCAGCATAAAAATGGAAAATAAAAAAATTTTAATAGAAAAAATTATTTTATTGCCTATGTACCTAAAACACGGACTGAGATGGACACTCATATTGCGATGTCGCTTCTCGAACCGATTGTACTTCCTAATGTAATGTAAGTAGTCTCTGCGAATAACAATAGTGCGTTGCATTTTCATCTTTTGTACAACACCGGTAAGAATCCGGCCTCTAATTGATACATTGCCCGTAAACGGACATTTCTTATCAATATAGGTGCCCTCAAGAGCCTGCAAAGATTAAACCAGTAAAATATATAAGGTATCTTATATATCCTTTATCAATAAGAAATAGATATAAAAACATTCAGAGAATATAGACTCTTCAAAATATCTTCAGAAGACCATCGTGATATTTATATTATCATCAATTAATATTTTGGTCATATCTATGATAACAGTAATGTAATAAAAATGATCTATAATAATAGTATTGTAATAAAAATAATTATAAAATTATGGTACATACTAGACAATCTGTAGTTATTTAAATCTTAATCAACTATATTTCTAATTTAATACACTTTAGCCCAATGAATTACATCCTACTTGAATAATATTATAGTACATTTAATCTGTTTTTTATAGCTAAATTAAATATATTTTTGGAATCTAAAGTAGAAATATTTGATATTTATCAAAAGCAAGAAAGACAGTTCTAGTACAGTCTAGCAGAAAAATAAAAACAGATTAAATCTTTGTACATTCAACCATTTACATCTCATACAAAAGGTGAGTTTTTAATTCATCGATTAATCAATTGCTTTATGCACAAATACAATTTTACTACATAAAAGTAGCATTTGCAATTGATCAGTCGAATTAAAAAATTCACCTGTACTAGCTGAGTTAGGTTACTTTCCTGTTAGGAGAAACAAACGTCGTTCTAATTTCATTGGCTTTCAATGAATAATAATTATATATGAATGTGAAATAAATTAATAGTAAATGAAACACATCTGTTCTAAGAATATCGATCAAAATCATCATATCAGAACAATAAACATTAGAGCAAGGCAGATTTATACTTACTTCGCGAGGAGTTTTGAAACCGAGTCCGACATTGCGGCTGTATCTCATAGGCTTCCTGCGCTTCGGACCCAGACCTTTCTTACGGTTAAGAAAGATCGTGGGCTGTTTCTGGAACGCGCGTTCGCTCTATAACAAATAAAATTGTATGGATTACGTGTCATTTCTACTTCTCCGTGTCCAAATCTTTGCACGCGTGGACGACCTAACCACGTGCTACGCCGACAAACTTTAACTATTTGAACGCGTCTTGATCTACGATCTTACATGATAAACTACTTTTATCAGCTAATCACGACGAGGGCATATTTTTATAAAATAATGTTGTGATGTGTTAACAAGGAAATCGATTTATTTACGATCACGGCGTCGAACACGTACCTGATCTGCCATCTTGTTCGTCTGAAAGAGCGACGAAAACCGGAAGAATGGATTATGGCAATTGGCATGGCAGAAATGGTGGAATTGATGGAAAGACGCATGATGTACAGCCCATGCGCATAGTAGAAGGAATAAAGGTGTCTTTTCATGCTAACGCTCGACGTTAATTTTCAGGGTCAGAATAAGTCACGCGATCACAGTTGACGCTTGGTATTGGTCAATTTCTATCACACGACTTATTTTGACATCGAAAATGAGCGTCGAGCGTCGGCATGAGAAGGCACCTTAAAATTCACTGTCAGAGCTCTAATGTGTAATACTTAGTTCACACTGGACGCGATGGGCGATGAACGACGAACGATATCTAATGAAAGCTGTTGGTGCTGTTCACACGTGACGACACAAAGCAAAGTTCTTGTTGGATATCGGTCGTCGCTCACCACTTCCAGTGTGCAGTAGGCATAAATTCGATATTATATCCCAGATTCCCTCTGATTGGATGACTCATTATTCCCTGTTGCCTGTGCCTATTGCCTGTGTCTATTGTGTTTAAGCTTTTACTCTTTGTCTTTTTCTAATTATTAGAACTAGAAAAAGACGAAGAGTAAGTTGAACTGAGATTAAAGTTAATCTACATTGATAGAAATGGGAATTAGAGTTTCTACATTGGTAGAAACTCGGAATAGCTTACTCATCGAACGATTGGTTCTTATTCATAAATCTACAAATAAGAATTGATCGCTCGGAGAGTACATAAGTCGCATTTCAAAATCTATCGAAAAAAAGTGTTGAAACTTTTCTGTGGCCGACTGTAGTAGAAAAAATTTTCACTTTAGGCATTTCGCATCAGAACTCTGACAGTAAATTTTAAGGTGCCTTCTCATGCCGACGCTCGACGCTCATTTTCGATGTCAAAATAAGTCGTGTGATAGAAATTGACCAATACCAAGCGTCAACTGTGATCGCGTGACTTATTCTGACCCTGAAAATTAACGTCGAGCGTTAGCATGAAAAGACACCTTTATTCCTTCTACTATGCGCATGGGCTGTACATCATGCGTCTTTCCATCAATTCCACCATTTCTGCCATGCCAATTGCCATAATCCATTCTTCCGGTTTTCGTCGCTCTTTCAGACGAACAAGATGGCAGATCAGGTACGTGTTCGACGCCGTGATCGTAAATAAATCGATTTCCTTGTTAACACATCACAACATTATTTTATAAAAATATGCCCTCGTCGTGATTAGCTGATAAAAGTAGTTTATCATGTAAGATCGTAGATCAAGACGCGTTCAAATAGTTAAAGTTTGTCGGCGTAGCACGTGGTTAGGTCGTCCACGCGTGCAAAGATTTGGACACGGAGAAGTAGAAATGACACGTAATCCATACAATTTTATTTGTTATAGAGCGAACGCGCGTTCCAGAAACAGCCCACGATCTTTCTTAACCGTAAGAAAGGTCTGGGTCCGAAGCGCAGGAAGCCTATGAGATACAGCCGCAATGTCGGACTCGGTTTCAAAACTCCTCGCGAAGTAAGTATAAATCTGCCTTGCTCTAATGTTTATTGTTCTGATATGATGATTTTGATCGATATTCTTAGAACAGATGTGTTTCATTTACTATTAATTTATTTCACATTCATATATAATTATTATTCATTGAAAGCCAATGAAATTAGAACGACGTTTGTTTCTCCTAACAGGAAAGTAACCTAACTCAGCTAGTACAGGTGAATTTTTTAATTCGACTGATCAATTGCAAATGCTACTTTTATGTAGTAAAATTGTATTTGTGCATAAAGCAATTGATTAATCGATGAATTAAAAACTCACCTTTTGTATGAGATGTAAATGGTTGAATGTACAAAGATTTAATCTGTTTTTATTTTTCTGCTAGACTGTACTAGAACTGTCTTTCTTGCTTTTGATAAATATCAAATATTTCTACTTTAGATTCCAAAAATATATTTAATTTAGCTATAAAAAACAGATTAAATGTACTATAATATTATTCAAGTAGGATGTAATTCATTGGGCTAAAGTGTATTAAATTAGAAATATAGTTGATTAAGATTTAAATAACTACAGATTGTCTAGTATGTACCATAATTTTATAATTATTTTTATTACAATACTATTATTATAGATCATTTTTATTACATTACTGTTATCATAGATATGACCAAAATATTAATTGATGATAATATAAATATCACGATGGTCTTCTGAAGATATTTTGAAGAGTCTATATTCTCTGAATGTTTTTATATCTATTTCTTATTGATAAAGGATATATAAGATACCTTATATATTTTACTGGTTTAATCTTTGCAGGCTCTTGAGGGCACCTATATTGATAAGAAATGTCCGTTTACGGGCAATGTATCAATTAGAGGCCGGATTCTTACCGGTGTTGTACAAAAGATGAAAATGCAACGCACTATTGTTATTCGCAGAGACTACTTACATTACATTAGGAAGTACAATCGGTTCGAGAAGCGACATCGCAATATGAGTGTCCATCTCAGTCCGTGTTTTAGGTACATAGGCAATAAAATAATTTTTTCTATTAAAATTTTTTTATTTTCCATTTTTATGCTGATAATTTATATCACGATGGTCTACTGAGATGTTTTGATGATCATTATATATCTGAGTTTCGAAATAATATTTAAAGAAAAATGAACAATTAATTCAGCATTCACATTCACAAACTTTATGTTTCAGAGATGTAGAAATTGGTGATGTAGTCACTATTGGAGAATGCAGACCTTTAAGCAAGACAGTAAGATTTAATGTATTGAAGGTATCGAAAGGAACAGGATCAAAGAAAAGCTTCAAGAAGTTCTAAACATCTATCTTACAGCAATTTTGTTTGTAAAATTCATTATTTGTAATTTATATTACTATTGTTAACCCTTAATACACCATTAGGTCATTTGTGTCCTACACATTTCTTTTTATAATACAATAATTGTACATAATTTATATACAATTTATTATACATGTACGACTTTTTAAAAATATTATAAATATACAACTTTCTGAAGATGTCAAAATATACGTAAAAATTGATTAATAATTTTCATATACTTATAAAAGTGATGAAATTAATCCAAGACGCGAAAGACCCATCGTGTGTAATAAGGGTGCAAGAACTAAAGTGTGTACTAAGGGTTAATATAATTATATTAAAATTTAACTTAAATGATGAAAACACGACGGTCTTCTGAAGATATATTGAAGAATGTCACATATTTTCTGAATATTTTTGCATTCAAGTTTTTAAGATTTCTAAATCTAATGCTTGATTTATGCTTCAGTCTTAACCCTAAAATCCTAAAATTCAGCCAGATAGGAATATGGATTTTAATTAGATCTAATTAGGATTGGTAGCCCTATTGAATTTTAGGATTTTAGAGTTAAGACCAAAGCATAACATTTCGTGTGTTGGTAAAGATTTCAAATCTTTTGATTGATTGCAACACGGAAATCTGAGACCTCTCTGTTTTGCAACTAATCAACAGATCTAAACAGTCTTATCATACGACACATGAATTATTAATCTTAAAAATGAAATTTTTAATATGGATATTTATAACATATCTCATATATTTTTCTTTTAATTACAGAATTACATTTTTGGCAGATTTCAAGGATGAGGTAAAAAAATTGCAAAATGTGATTACACAATTCTGCATAATTCTCATATTCAAAATCTCAAAATAACAAAAATAAAATTTCTATAAAAATACTAATAGCATATATTTTTCATCATTCCTTCAATACATATTATGTGAATGAGCATTTTTTAAGAAAATAATTTACATATCTAACTGAATTTTATATTATATATATTCTCAATTATAGGAAATCCAATGATTAAAAAAATTAATTTTTTAAATTACTTATACATATTATAAAATGTGGAATTATTAAGTAACAACATCATTTATTTTCAAAAAATATATTTGAGCATTTTTTAACATCGTATTAACATACAAAAATAATTACAAGTATTTTGGCATATATATCGTTATATCATAAATTATAAAAATATTCAATTTTTAAAAAGAAGACATGTTACATTTGTGTCAAAGTTTATAAAAAAGTAATGATTTATTGCGTAAAACTAATTCCATATAATAATATAATTATTATGAATTAATCTGCAATATTAAATAATTTAAATATTTCCAATCACAAAAGTATGACAGATATGACAAATTTATTTTATAATATTTAGATTTTACAGATCAACAATAGAAAATTCCAGTTATAAAGGCACCAATATTTATCTAAATATATAGTTATATATAGTTATATAGTTATGTATTCAGTATTTTCTATACTATTTTCTATTAATGTTTTAATCATTCTTATTAATTAATTTTGTCACAAATTTATCACAATTATGTTTGGTATAGTATGAAAACTTAATAACTTTTCTACATGAAAAATTATATAATTTTAATCTTATTACTAAATATTAGAATTTATCAATTTCGTTAATAGTAGTTATAGCTATAAAAAGATCTCACTCAATACAAAGGACAGTTCTGAGACTTTGAATTGTTATAATATAAAAATAGGATGAGAAAATATATTTTTGATAGATATTAAATTTACGTTTATGATAATTAAAAAATCATGGAAATTCAGTTTTTGATTGATTTTTAACTTGTAAATTGTAGGTATGTCTATATACAAAACATATATTCTTATCCTGTTACTTTCTATCCTTATATATTCCTTTACACGAAATATCAGTTACTTACAGTTATATTTGTTTTAGGTAAATATTCCGCTATATAAAGTATGTATATAATAGGCCCTGCAAAACTTAATAGTAATGAGAATACGAGCAATTGTGTCCAGGACAATCCCCAATTATCGCCCGAACATTTGAACATATTTGTTTCACAGGATTCAGCTATTTCTACATTCTCAACATCATCAAGTAACGCATCGTGCTCTGTATGAGAAATTTCAGGAGTATTGGTATCGTTATAGGACGATAGAGGTTCACACACTGAATTCAGTATGATCGTATTAATTTCCGTGTTCGAAGACTCCGTGCTAGTTGATGTGGCGCTTAAGTCTATCAATTGATCATCCGTTGTCGCAGGTACTTCCTCTTGGCATTGCTCAGACATGGTGATAGCATTATTGCCTTGACTTTCATGCGACGTCTCAGTTAAAATAGAGAATGGTTGTACAGGAACCTTAATATAAGGCTTAGCATATATTTCATTCTCTTTGTCGATTTTATTAATTCTTTTCAATTCAGATATCTAAAATTATGCGATGCATATTATGAATACACACAAGCATAAAAATATGATTGCATATCTTTATGCCACGTATACATGTTTTCTTACTGTATGTCAAAAATTATGCATTGCATATTATATGACTAAAAGAAAACATAAAGATATGAAAACTATTTTTTTCAGTTGAACTTACATTCACTTACAATTCACTTTCCTCTCCAACATAAAAAGAAAAAGAGAAAGGATAAATCATGAAATTCAATTAAAAAAGGACAAGCCTGATTGCATATCTTTATGATATTCTTTATGATGTATGTCACATTTTCCTATTCACTATATGACATTTGTTTAAAATTATGCAATGCATAAATAAAAAGAATATAAAGATATCAGATTTGTTCTTTTTATTTGAACTTCTCACATAGTTCATTTTTCTTTCCAACATGCAAAGAAAAAGAAGAAATACGAACTATGGCGTTCAGATTAAAAAAACAGGTCTATGATTACATATCTTTATGCCACGTACATATCACATTTTCCTACTCACTGTACATCTGTATCGAAGAGCTAATGCTTGCAGAGTATCTTCAGGTTTTATTTGCACATTGATCACCTGAATTTTTCGACATAATGATATAGGTCGTTTGATAGTTTGTAAAGAGATGTTATCCTCATCTGTGCTACCTTCGTCATCCGAATGTAAAAACATATAATACGGGGAACTTTCTCTTCCACGCAGATGAATCGTCTGCCTGAGAGTTTATTTTATTATTAAAAAGTGTATTTTAATTTCTAATTTAAAGAAATTTTCCATTTATAATATTGATTCATTTTTTATAAAAGTATACATTTCTTATAAAAGTACACAATTTCCATAAACACTATTGACTGCAATCGATTATATTTATAAAGTTATTGTACACGTAATTTACTTGTTCGTATTGCAAGAAATTTATATAAATAATGATGCGACAAAATTGTAATAGGATAATCAAATAATCTTGAAAATTACCTAACACTTTTCTGTTCCTCAAACGTCGAATTCATTAATTTTTGCGGCATAATGTGATCATGCTTAGAAGTTTACCCTTCAACGAGAATGTTTATTCGTATATGCATGAATATTCAGGACGAATGTTGTTACAAATAACGGATGAGGAGTGACGTGTATTTAACAAGCTGTGGGAGGCTTGTATGAATTGTATCGAATCGAGTTAGGTTAGGTTAGGCATATTGCGGGAGGCATGAGCATAGGATGAGCGACGCGTCTTCAGCGATTGTAAGAATAGAGTGTTATTCAAGATGATGCAATTTGAGGAAGAGGGTGAAACGTTGAAAGATAAATCCCGATGCGCGAACATTCGCGCTGATCTCAAAATGTGTTTGCTTCAAAGCGATTGTTGTAAAATCGTAAGTGCAAAACCGCCATAACCTATAATATCGCTGATGCCGTTACAACTCAGCGGCATATTTTTTTATACGTATGCATACTTAATTTTGTAAAAAATAATATATCTTGTCTTTTTATTCTCTTCATTTTTGTCTAAATTTTTTATATTTTTCAAGTAATCGGTCAATTATGTCTACCAATATAGATTCAATCATGTCTATAGTTGCCAATTCCGATTGGCAAATTAGTCTGGAATATTGTATCTCAAAATATTACTTTGTCTCTTTGTTCTTTCTATTTTTTGGATGTAATTTTTTATATTTTTTGAATAAATATCGATAATTACATCAATATGATTTGATCATATTTAAAGCTTCCATTTCTAGTTTTCAAACTAATCAAACGTATATATTAAAAAAATATTATATAAAAGCACACTTTTCTTCCTCTTGTTTAAAAAAACGTTGTTTCTTTGACAGTATAAACGCACTCCCAAAGAATGCCTCAGATCACATGATAGTACAGTTCCGGATGAATGTTTTGCTTTACAGAGGACATTCTTTGAATGTAAACATTCTATAGTAAGTATAAATGAATTTGTGTAATAATTTCTAAATATTGAGGAAAGAAGATACATAGATATCTTTTCTTTAGAGAAATCGTATTTGGAATATATATGTTATATATAATATAGTTTTACTTTTTTTCTTTACTTTCTCACAGATTGATGGTAGACGGCGATTTAGAGGTCCTAGGGGATATTAAATGTTGAAATAAATATATGTATGTGACATAATTACAACATTATTATATAAGTTATGTATTAATAAAACATTGTATCCTTTTTCTATTGGATACTTTGTAATTAAATGTCAAATGTATATATTAAATGCAAAAAGAACTTAAGAAAATGTAAAAATATATTTTATTGATAAGAAAGGGAAAATCAACGTTGTATAACGTTTAATGTTAGAAGTAATTTATTGTTATTCGTTGTACACGATTTAATAAATCTATTATACTCGCGAAGTAACAATGTATCATACAATTCATCACATTTACTTACGTATCCTGATATCCATAGATATTCTTATTCCCTTGATAATCTATTGCCAGACTTAATTGAGAAATATGAAGCTTTGTATGCTTGTTACTTTGAGGAGATATACTCCTCTATATAGAGCAAAAGTTCTTTTTGTAGGCAAAAGGTTCTCTTCTCGAAGAATAAAAGTGGTCATGTTTTAACTCTTTCAGTATTTCTTTTTCTTCAATATCACAAATTAAATGTTTTATTAATTTTTGTAAGAAATATCCCATATTAATTTTTTTTAGTTTTGCAAACAAAGTTGGATATATTGTGTGTGTGTGTATGTGTGTGTGTGTGTATATATATATATATAAAATAAAAATTAATAAAATATAATAAAAATTGATAAAAAATATTTTTAATAATAATGTAAGTTATTAAAATTCAAATCTAACTTAAATTATCTTAATTTAATCTCTTGTAATTAACTTGTCACTGAAGGAGTTAATGCGATGTCCAGCCTTTTTTAAAATAATATCACATAAAAATATTTCTACATATGTGCAAAATACCATGTATAATTGGAATTTATGTTTCAGTATAATTGTACAATGATGAGAAAAGAGAATGCAATGGAGCATATATTTTTCATCATTCCTTCAATACATATTATGTGAATGAGCATTTTTTAAGAAAATAATTTACATATCTAACTGAATTTTATATTATATATATTCTCAATTATAGGAAATCCAATGATTAAAAAAATTAATTTTTTAAATTACTTATACATATTATAAAATGTGGAATTATTAAGTAACAACATCATTTATTTTCAAAAAATATATTTGAGCATTTTTTAACATCGTATTAACATACAAAAATAATTACAAGTATTTTGGCATATATATCGTTATATCATAAATTATAAAAATATTCAATTTTTAAAAAGAAGACATGTTACATTTGTGTCAAAGTTTATAAAAAAGTAATGATTTATTGCGTAAAACTAATTCCATATAATAATATAATTATTATGAATTAATCTGCAATATTAAATAATTTAAATATTTCCAATCACAAAAGTATGACAGATATGACAAATTTATTTTATAATATTTAGATTTTACAGATCAACAATAGAAAATTCCAGTTATAAAGGCACCAATATTTATCTAAATATATAGTTATATATAGTTATATAGTTATGTATTCAGTATTTTCTATACTATTTTCTATTAATGTTTTAATCATTCTTATTAATTAATTTTGTCACAAATTTATCACAATTATGTTTGGTATAGTATGAAAACTTAATAACTTTTCTACATGAAAAATTATATAATTTTAATCTTATTACTAAATATTAGAATTTATCAATTTCGTTAATAGTAGTTATAGCTATAAAAAGATCTCACTCAATACAAAGGACAGTTCTGAGACTTTGAATTGTTATAATATAAAAATAGGATGAGAAAATATATTTTTGATAGATATTAAATTTACGTTTATGATAATTAAAAAATCATGGAAATTCAGTTTTTGATTGATTTTTAACTTGTAAATTGTAGGTATGTCTATATACAAAACATATATTCTTATCCTGTTACTTTCTATCCTTATATATTCCTTTACACGAAATATCAGTTACTTACAGTTATATTTGTTTTAGGTAAATATTCCGCTATATAAAGTATGTATATAATAGGCCCTGCAAAACTTAATAGTAATGAGAATACGAGCAATTGTGTCCAGGACAATCCCCAATTATCGCCCGAACATTTGAACATATTTGTTTCACAGGATTCAGCTATTTCTACATTCTCAACATCATCAAGTAACGCATCGTGCTCTGTATGAGAAATTTCAGGAGTATTGGTATCGTTATAGGACGATAGAGGTTCACACACTGAATTCAGTATGATCGTATTAATTTCCGTGTTCGAAGACTCCGTGCTAGTTGATGTGGCGCTTAAGTCTATCAATTGATCATCCGTTGTCGCAGGTACTTCCTCTTGGCATTGCTCAGACATGGTGATAGCATTATTGCCTTGACTTTCATGCGACGTCTCAGTTAAAATAGAGAATGGTTGTACAGGAACCTTAATATAAGGCTTAGCATATATTTCATTCTCTTTGTCGATTTTATTAATTCTTTTCAATTCAGATATCTAAAATTATGCGATGCATATTATGAATACACACAAGCATAAAAATATGATTGCATATCTTTATGCCACGTATACATGTTTTCTTACTGTATGTCAAAAATTATGCATTGCATATTATATGACTAAAAGAAAACATAAAGATATGAAAACTATTTTTTTCAGTTGAACTTACATTCACTTACAATTCACTTTCCTCTCCAACATAAAAAGAAAAAGAGAAAGGATAAATCATGAAATTCAATTAAAAAAGGACAAGCCTGATTGCATATCTTTATGATATTCTTTATGATGTATGTCACATTTTCCTATTCACTATATGACATTTGTTTAAAATTATGCAATGCATAAATAAAAAGAATATAAAGATATCAGATTTGTTCTTTTTATTTGAACTTCTCACATAGTTCATTTTTCTTTCCAACATGCAAAGAAAAAGAAGAAATACGAACTATGGCGTTCAGATTAAAAAAACAGGTCTATGATTACATATCTTTATGCCACGTACATATCACATTTTCCTACTCACTGTACATCTGTATCGAAGAGCTAATGCTTGCAGAGTATCTTCAGGTTTTATTTGCACATTGATCACCTGAATTTTTCGACATAATGATATAGGTCGTTTGATAGTTTGTAAAGAGATGTTATCCTCATCTGTGCTACCTTCGTCATCCGAATGTAAAAACATATAATACGGGGAACTTTCTCTTCCACGCAGATGAATCGTCTGCCTGAGAGTTTATTTTATTATTAAAAAGTGTATTTTAATTTCTAATTTAAAGAAATTTTCCATTTATAATATTGATTCATTTTTTATAAAAGTATACATTTCTTATAAAAGTACACAATTTCCATAAACACTATTGACTGCAATCGATTATATTTATAAAGTTATTGTACACGTAATTTACTTGTTCGTATTGCAAGAAATTTATATAAATAATGATGCGACAAAATTGTAATAGGATAATCAAATAATCTTGAAAATTACCTAACACTTTTCTGTTCCTCAAACGTCGAATTCATTAATTTTTGCGGCATAATGTGATCATGCTTAGAAGTTTACCCTTCAACGAGAATGTTTATTCGTATATGCATGAATATTCAGGACGAATGTTGTTACAAATAACGGATGAGGAGTGACGTGTATTTAACAAGCTGTGGGAGGCTTGTATGAATTGTATCGAATCGAGTTAGGTTAGGTTAGGCATATTGCGGGAGGCATGAGCATAGGATGAGCGACGCGTCTTCAGCGATTGTAAGAATAGAGTGTTATTCAAGATGATGCAATTTGAGGAAGAGGGTGAAACGTTGAAAGATAAATCCCGATGCGCGAACATTCGCGCTGATCTCAAAATGTGTTTGCTTCAAAGCGATTGTTGTAAAATCGTAAGTGCAAAACCGCCATAACCTATAATATCGCTGATGCCGTTACAACTCAGCGGCATATTTTTTTATACGTATGCATACTTAATTTTGTAAAAAATAATATATCTTGTCTTTTTATTCTCTTCATTTTTGTCTAAATTTTTTATATTTTTCAAGTAATCGGTCAATTATGTCTACCAATATAGATTCAATCATGTCTATAGTTGCCAATTCCGATTGGCAAATTAGTCTGGAATATTGTATCTCAAAATATTACTTTGTCTCTTTGTTCTTTCTATTTTTTGGATGTAATTTTTTATATTTTTTGAATAAATATCGATAATTACATCAATATGATTTGATCATATTTAAAGCTTCCATTTCTAGTTTTCAAACTAATCAAACGTATATATTAAAAAAATATTATATAAAAGCACACTTTTCTTCCTCTTGTTTAAAAAAACGTTGTTTCTTTGACAGTATAAACGCACTCCCAAAGAATGCCTCAGATCACATGATAGTACAGTTCCGGATGAATGTTTTGCTTTACAGAGGACATTCTTTGAATGTAAACATTCTATAGTAAGTATAAATGAATTTGTGTAATAATTTCTAAATATTGAGGAAAGAAGATACATAGATATCTTTTCTTTAGAGAAATCGTATTTGGAATATATATGTTATATATAATATAGTTTTACTTTTTTTCTTTACTTTCTCACAGATTGATGGTAGACGGCGATTTAGAGGTCCTAGGGGATATTAAATGTTGAAATAAATATATGTATGTGACATAATTACAACATTATTATATAAGTTATGTATTAATAAAACATTGTATCCTTTTTCTATTGGATACTTTGTAATTAAATGTCAAATGTATATATTAAATGCAAAAAGAACTTAAGAAAATGTAAAAATATATTTTATTGATAAGAAAGGGAAAATCAACGTTGTATAACGTTTAATGTTAGAAGTAATTTATTGTTATTCGTTGTACACGATTTAATAAATCTATTATACTCGCGAAGTAACAATGTATCATACAATTCATCACATTTACTTACGTATCCTGATATCCATAGATATTCTTATTCCCTTGATAATCTATTGCCAGACTTAATTGAGAAATATGAAGCTTTGTATGCTTGTTACTTTGAGGAGATATACTCCTCTATATAGAGCAAAAGTTCTTTTTGTAGGCAAAAGGTTCTCTTCTCGAAGAATAAAAGTGGTCATGTTTTAACTCTTTCAGTATTTCTTTTTCTTCAATATCACAAATTAAATGTTTTATTAATTTTTGTAAGAAATATCCCATATTAATTTTTTTTAGTTTTGCAAACAAAGTTGGATATATTGTGTGTGTGTGTATGTGTGTGTGTGTGTATATATATATATATAAAATAAAAATTAATAAAATATAATAAAAATTGATAAAAAATATTTTTAATAATAATGTAAGTTATTAAAATTCAAATCTAACTTAAATTATCTTAATTTAATCTCTTGTAATTAACTTGTCACTGAAGGAGTTAATGCGATGTCCAGCCTTTTTTAAAATAATATCACATAAAAATATTTCTACATATGTGCAAAATACCATGTATAATTGGAATTTATGTTTCAGTATTGTATAATTGTACAATGATGAGAAAAGAGAATGCAGTGGGTCAAATATTTTATTGACGCATTTGAATTATAATGTACTGTTTTTCTTTTTTATTTATACATATAGACTGGACAATATTGGCTCATTGTAGCATTTATCATATTTTATAATATTGCACTTATTTGTCGTGCTGAATCGCACGCATGAATGTATCGAACATGATACGCGTATGATCACAGTAAAATTGCGAATTTCCTAACTTCCTTTTTTTCTTTTTTTTTTTTTGTTATTAAGTTAAGAGCATTTTGTTCCACTTTGTGTTGTATAATTGTACAATGATGAGAAAAGAGAATGCAGTGGGTCAAATATTTTATTGACGCATTTGAATTATAATGTACTGTTTTTCTTTTTGATTTATACATATAGACTGGACAATATTGGCTCATTGTAGCATTTATCATATTTTATAATATTGCACTTATTTGGGGCGTATGATAAAGTACGCCGTTATATAGGTCTTGTATTTTATTACAAATCTACAGATGACGATCACGCCTGCGTAATCGTCCTCTCTATTGTCTGTATGCAACAAGCGTATATTGGCTATACAATTTTTTTTGTCCTACAATGTCAACTCACTCTTTCACTCTCTAAAATGGCTATAGGCACCTAAAAATGGGATTTACAAGCTTTTCCTGCGCATACTTGTTTTACTCTCATCTCTTTCCGTATGTATGGAAAGAATTTTTAGATTGTATGTGGATAAAGTAGAAATTCTTGAATTTTTTTGTTAGCTTGAGCTTTGATTTTCAATTAATTATTTCTATACGGTTATACATTTTTTAAGTTCCTGTAAAAAAATAATTAAGACATCGAGAAAAGATTTATTAAAATCTCCAAATAAAATAATATATATTTTTTATTTGTCTATTCCTTCAAATGTGATAAAATCATCGTTTGAAATAAGGTTTATGAACTTTTTTTTATTTTACGGAATGAAAAAAAGGGAAAAAGTGATATAATTAGAAGTAAAAGAGTATATTCAAATTTTTATTTTTCGAAAATGTAATTTACCCACACACGTAACACATTTGCCGATCGAATTTCGCGAGCGTAAAATCCGTGTATACGGATATTGTACATATAATATCAAATATTAAGATAATCGATAAAGAACTTGAAGTTATTATGTTCTACCGCGTTGGCCTTCGAAGTTCCACTACCTTGTGCCTAAGTCACCTAAATTGATTTCAAGAGTAGCATTTTCAAGAATAGGTTTTCAAGAGGAGTTTCCCATTGTGATATATACGCCGCTGATTCAAATATCACAGTTTATCGAGTATGATATGTAATTAGTGATTATATTCGATAGTTATCAATAGTAATAAAAGTATGTTGCGTATATCGTTATGCTTGAATATTATAATATATATATATATATATATATATATATATATATTACAATATACTTTCTGCAACCTATCAATTTTATTACTATTCATTCTGTATACATTTCATTTCCGCTTCGTTCGGTGACCCTACTTGGGCAATGCTCGCTTGCATAATGAACGAGATAGTAAAGTCGAAAAATACAAATAGGTTCATATCTAATCGAGCATGCAGGCCGTTTCGTCGATTATCAACGAAACTCGTCTAAAGCGTATACGAAGTTGCGCTCCTTATAATAGGTAATACGATAACAGTAGAAATCACAGTGTCTCGTTCGTTAACAACATTTGCGACGATATATCCTCAATTCCTGCAAATCGGTATCGCATCTTTTCTCCCGTTATAATATTAATTATATTCCTGCAAAATCAAAATTAATTCTGATCAAAAATATAAATGCTGATCGATATCATTGCTTATCGATATCGTTTTACTATTATCTGAAAGATATTGATATCAACTTGTTTAGTTACAAATAGAATCGTAAAGTAAAAGATTGACATTTGATACGACACCGTTTGGATTTTTCTGCAGAGTTATACATAATGCGATTCGAAAGGATGTTTCTCGCAGACTCTAACAGCCGGGTGAGGAATCAGAAGCATACGGAGGGTCTGTAAAGTCCGGTGTATCCACACAGACGTGCACGAAGTGCCGGCAGAAGTATTGCCGCAGCAGATAGATTGTCTTGCAGCTGCGAACACTCGCAGATTAACAGATACATCTTGTCGCCTTGTGACATCGATTTGTGCAAAGTAATACGTCTGAGACCCACAGATTTTGGCAAGTATCGATACATCAGTCACGCGCCTGCCACACGATAAAAATCTAATGTAGTATATCTTGATACACTATCGGAATAAAATTTTGCTTCTTTATTCGTGCAATTATTCATCTATATCTAGATCAATATTTTATATTGTGTATAAAATATTCATCTTGTAAGAGATAAAATATCAAGTTTTAATAAGATTATTTTTTATATAAATATTTAACATTTCCTTACATTGTTTATATATATATTAACAATAAATCTTTTAATAATAGATTCTTCAAATTGATTAAAGTAAATCTTTTAATTCTGAGAAAAATAAAATTGTAATTTTAATAAATCCAGATAATGAGACTAAAATATTATACTCTGCGCGGTATTTTAATCACATTTTCTTATTAAAACTACAATTATTTGTTTAGTAAATTCGTTCTTTTTTTCACGTATGATTTTAAAATCACGTATGATCAAAATTTAAAAAAATGATAAAATTTCATTTTTGCACAAATACTTTTTGCAATTGAAACAAAGGAAAATTTTATTTCTTAAATAAGCATTAAACATATTTAATAACTTTTTAAATGAAATAATTACTTAGCTGTTTATCTTATCAAACTTTTTTAGCAACAATAGGATTATATTTTTTTAGTATAACATGTATAAGCAAGTTATATCATTATTTTATGGATTCATTAGCGTCATCTAATTCATAAGATAAGAATACATATTTATTTCAAGATAAGAATACATTGTACATACATATATTAGCGACGCTAATGAGTCTACAAAGTAAAACGCGAAATGTGCGATAATAATCCCAAAATCCCAAAGTTTTACGATTCCAAGGAAGGGAAATGAATCTGAATGTTCACACATTCGGACTCTAAATTCTTTAGAGTGGAATCTCACTCTTTAGAATGAAAATTGAACTATTTTTATAAAAGAGTGCCTCAGTTTTCAATCTATGAGTGAACTAAATTTTTTTCAACAGCATAGAACTTACAACAATATTGCAGCAAGGCGTAATATTGCAGTAATATTGCTGTAAGTTTTGTGCTGTTACACTGTTAAAAATATCATGAAATTTAATGTACTTTCAAGTATTATACAAATTTAATTCAATTTTATGACACGAAATTAAATTTAATGTATCTGAAAAGTATGTTTGTATACATGTACATGAAATTTAATATACTTTTCATAAAATTTTACGAAGTTTAGTACATTTTATATAGCTTTGCATGAAATTTAATATAAGTAAACGTTAAATTTAAGTTACTTACAACTTCATTTTCATTGACAACATTAAATATTTTTAATGTATCTGCTTGAAATTTGCTTCCATTACATATATAACGGAAGCAAATTTCTTTTTTTTTAACAGTGTGGGATTTACTCTTTAGAGTAGGATTCACAAAAAAAAATTCTCTACAATAAGTTTTGAAGTGTATATAAAATATTTTGTATAACTGCTTAACACGACGTGTTATAACTGCATACACAACGTGCGGTATTCGTGTAAGATCGCTTTGTTATCATTTATGCAGCATAGCTCGAGCGGACGGACAATGCGTTGTTGTCTCTCATCGCATTATTATAATTCTCTTAGCATCGAGATACTACCATGTTTCCTGATATTCGCATTTCATATGTAAAATATTTCGTACAATTGTTTAGCACGTCGTATTATAACTTATATATACACAGCATACGGTGTTCACGCTTTGTTATCATTTGGCTCGAGCGAACGGATAGCGATGTATAGTTGTTTCTCGTCGTGTTGTTCTAATACTTTTCGGAATGGCATCATTCCGTGTAATTCCTATCGTTTCGCGCGTAAAGTTGGCAGCCATCTTTGTTAATGGAGTTTCGCGGATGAACTTCGAGTGGAGCTACGTCCCGACAAACAGTATCGTTTAAGTTCTAAATGCAGTTGTAACGAGTCATTTTTCGATATTCGTCAACTATACATTAACGTAAGTTTGATGCTTGTATGGAGGTTAATAGCGAAAGCACGTATTTCGCGAGATTTATTCGATCGAAATCTGTTGTTCAGGTAGTTGCAGGCAACCTAACCGTTTTCGAAAATTGCAAATACGGCAAATCGTGTTTCACTTGCACGCACGGTAGACTGTTTTGTGTTATTTTTTTCTACCACAACCTGATAAACT